CCCCCTTCCCGCCCGCGGCCGCGCTCCCTCCGGTCCCTTCCTGGGAGGGCCCCGGGCTGCGCCGTGCGGGGAGGCCCTGCTGAGGGGGCCCGATCCCGCCCGCAGTCGGTGTACACGGAACAGCCGCAGAACAAGGCCCGGGGAGGGAAGCTAACCAACCCCCCGCAACGGCAGCGATGTATCTTGTCACAGCAGTCATCTCTTCTCCGCACCTCTTTTCTTGAGGAATACCAGGGCAGAATACATTTCTGCCTCGCCTAGCAGATGGCGAAATGAAGGGCTTTAATTAAAACGTGAAATAGATCTGTGAATAACTGAATGTCTAGAGACATTACAACTCTGATTTTAACGTGTGTGTTTACAATGTGTTTTATAGGTCAATTTCCTTAAATAGTACCAAAGGAAAGAGGATGGAACCAGAAAATACTGCCAAGGAAACAGTCCTCATTACTGGAGGAGGTGGTTATTTTGGCTTCCGGTTAGTGCATTAAATAGTTATTACGTACAAGAATAAATGTAATAGACTGCTGCTGGTGAGGCAACAGTCTGTCTATAAAAGGGAAAACTGTGGGCCTGAGATGCCTGATCCAGTTCACCCTAACTCGTTCATCTTGGACCTCATTTTTAAACAAACATGTTATTCTGTTTCCACACGTTCTAAGTAAATATGTTATTCTGTTCCCAAATGTCAAGCATCAGCTGACTTGCAGGCACTTACCTGTCTGTCACCTTTGTAATGGGGATTTACATCATCGTCTTTCAGCCTACTCTGAAGAGCAAGCCTACACTTGCATGCAGATCACTTGTTTTACCATAGGCCAGGGCCTGGCAAATAGTTACACACATGCTTGGCTATAGAGATTAAATACTCTAGCTGCTCTCTACCTTCAAGAGTATATTTATTTTAATGGACAGTGATGTTTTAGGATTAGAGCTGTTAATAAGGTACCTATTGCAGTGAAATCCTTTTCCCCTTACTGTAAATGGCTGTGCAGGCCCTGTGAAGAAAAAAAAAATCCTGTTTTGAGCCCTAGACATCTTCTAGAGTACTTTCAGAACTGTAACAGCTTACATAGGTGAAAAAGATTACAGTCATGATCAAAGAGTAAATTTCAAATAGGGGAAAAAGTAAGTCTGAGAAGATACTTATCTGATTTCTGCTTGGCTTTTTCCTCCACTGTCCCTTTAAGCACTGTAGAAAAACAACAGTTATAGGAAAGCGGGAGAGGAATACCAGATTTATACTTTAGTCAATACCTGTGTTTATACCTGTGACTTGCAGTAATACATAGACATGTGGCAAAGTATTCATACCAGCTTAGAAACATCTTGCTCATTCTCCTTCTCCATCAATTTCAAACACAATGGCAAAGACAAACCTATTTTCTGACATAATTGGGATGGCCCAAAAGCAGTAAGATAAATGCAGTAAGATAATTTCTTTTTTTTTTTTTTAAATATTTGGCTACAGGTGTACATCTGAAAGGTTTGCTATTGCTGATCTGTAGCGGACAGAAGCAGACTAACAGCTAGGTTCTTCCAAAAGGCTGCTGAAAGCACTTCAGTTATTTCTGTTCTGAATTTTCCTTTACAGCAGATCTGCATCTTTTTTTCCTTTTCTTTTTTGCCTCTAAAGTATTGATGGAGTGTGAGAAATTAGTTCAGTACCTAAAGTATCACAGTTGAATCTTCCCCATAATAAGTGGCTGAATATTTAAGAGACTCCCATCAGAAAAAAAAAAAAAAGGAAAAAAATCAGTACAAAACAGTTAATAGTCTTGTCTTGCCTCCAGGTGAAATGTCTTATGCATCATTATCCTATGTATACTAACATACGGTTTCTGTCATGTTTTAGTTTAGGTTGTGCCATATACCAAAAGGGAGTCGATGTGATTCTCTTTGATGTTGTGAAGCCACTTCAAACTGTGCCAGAGGAAATAACGTTCGTGCAAGGGGATGTCTGTTGCCTGTCTGAAGTTGAAGAGGCTCTTAGAGATGTAATCTGCGTATTCCATATCGCTTCCTATGGAATGTCTGGCAGGGAGCAGCTGAACCGAAAACTTATAGAAGATGTTAATGTGAAAGGAACAGAAAATGTCATCCAAGCCTGCAAGAGCGCAGGAGTGTCGAGTCTGGTTTATACAAGTACATATAATGTGGTATTTGGAGGCCAGATTATAGAAAATGGGGACGAATCTCTGCCTTATCTCCCTCTTCACCTTCATCCAGATCACTATTCCCGGACCAAATCTTTAGCTGAAATGAAGGTGCTGGAGGCAAATGGTGCTGAGCTTGGAAATGGGAAGGGTGTTTTAAGGACTTGTGCTCTCCGACCAGCGGGCATCTATGGGCCTGGAGAACAAAGACATCTTCCAAGAATAGTTAGTTACATTGAAAGGGGACTGTTTAAATTTGTATATGGAGATCCTCTTAGTTTAGTAGAATTTGTACACGTAGACAATCTAGTTCAGGCTCATATCCTTGCCTCTGAGGCCCTCAAAGCCAACAAAAAGCACATAGCTGCAGGCCAAGCCTATTTTATTTCAGATGGCAGGCCTGTAAATAACTTTGAATTTTTCCGACCGTTAGTGGAAGGTTTAGGTTACAAGTTCCCAACCTGTCGTCTTCCTCTCTCCCTTGTCTATTTTTTTGCATTCCTTACTGAAGTAGTTCATTTTCTTGTAGGTCACATTTATAATTTTCAGCCTCTCCTCACTCGCACAGAGGTTTACAAAACCGGTGTCACACATTATTTTAGTATGGAAAAGGCCAGAACAGAGCTGGGGTATGAGCCGCAGCAATACAGCCTGAACGAAGTGGTTGAGTGGTTTAGAGCTCAGGGATGTGGACCAAAGCCAAGAAAGTATATGCATTGTCTTAGGGATGGAGGACTGCTTTTGCTGCTCATTGCTGTGATGGTCTCATGGTTTCCATCTGCAGTTACATTTTCACTCTGAAAGATGAAACACTGAGTACTGGAGGACAGAATTTAGTCATGTTCTCTGAGTACTCTTGGTTTTGAAAGACAGGTAATAAATAAAAAATAAAAAACCTAAGAAAAATACACATTTGTATCATTTGGGTAATTACCTTTAAAAGTTTTATCCCCAAGGAATGGAACTGCTGAGTAAAAAGGTGTAACTTTTATATAAAAGAGTTCCTCTTCAAAGTAAAATCGATCAGGTCTGTTAACAAGATGAAGGTCAGTATTGCTGCAAACAGCACTTTATTTTCAGGTACAACAGCACACTACAGTGAATGGAACAAATGCCCTTAGACTGACCATCTTCCTCCCTGATGGGATTATACTCTTGATCCCTGTCCTTTATTCCAAAAGAGTTTGTGCCACATGATCCAGAGGAGAATAAACTTGTTCTTTGATCACATTGCAAAACCAAATTCTGCTTTCCAGCATGGATGTATATATGCCTAACCAAGATTAACTGATAAACTGCTAGACAATAAATAAATGCCTTTTTTTAAAATGAACACACTCTGGTATGCTTTTCTGAGTTAACTCTGTGGTATCTAATGACATTTCTGGAAAATGCACAATTGTTAATCTAAGTTACAGCAAAGTGCTTGAAGCAGCACAGATTTGTAGATTTTTCTAGCAGTAAAATATGACTGCTTGAAATGAATGAGCTAGCTGGAGTGCATTCATAAATAAGACCTATGATTTTTCCCAGCATTATTGAATGGTTAAATAAATAATCCATCAAAGACATTTTGTAAGTTATTACATTCATGTTCCACTGTTCATAAAACATTTTTAGCCTTTAATATTTCTTTAACACCTGACACCATTTGAACAGAACTTCACCTTTGCAGTAGAATGATAAACACTTGATACAATGAAACTCATAATTTTGTGGAATTTTAAGAATAGAAAATAAAACCTTGTTAAGTACAGGTCACTACTTTCTCTAGCAACTCCCTCATCTCTGTCAGTTTAATATAGGAAGATACTGAGAAACTTCACATGGAAACGTTAAATCACAAAGTTGTTTTCCCTTAGTCCATCAGCATTACAGTTTCAGTACTTCTTGATAAAAACAGTCCTTCAAGAAGTTCACACTTCTCTTTAAACTTTAGTCTTTCCATTTTAATAGCTGAAACTACACCGATCTTACATTAAGTTTGTGTAAGTTCAGTTACTTCAGTTCTGTTAAACTCTACTGCGATTTAAATGGGGAATTGGAGACAGATAGTACTTCTACTGCATTGTTAAAGGATTCTTCAAAAACAAAAATGCCTAGAGAGACCAAGCTAAAAGGCCCCTGCCACCTGTGTTCAGCAGATGGAGTTTTTTGTAGTTAATAAGACAGCATTATTTTTTTAATGTGCTTTTCCTGAGAAGTAAAAAAAAATCACTATCAATAACTACATATTTTGTTTTGCTTGAAATCTGACTTTTCTCCTGCTTTGTTCCCCTACCAGTGTGTACACCATGAAAGAAACTAAATTTAATACTTAGCTTGAGAGGCAGCTCAAGAGAGAACTCAACTTTTTTTTTCTTTCCCTGTAATAGTGAATAAATTGAGGGGGCCTGGGGCAGCGGTATTTGCGTAGCAGGAGTGTTGCACTCGTTTATAGAAGGCTTATGTGCCTCCAACAGCGTGCTGATGGCAGAAGGGCCACTTTCCAGAAGTCATTAATATACATCATCATAGGCTGCAGAAAGAAGAAACCTTCTTTTTAATAAAACAGAAAAAAACCCAGTCGTGACCTCATGAAAGCATTGGACCGCTGTTCTCCTTCCAACAGGCCCCATTTTTTGAAGTGAAAACCACTTGGTTATTTTCCCCTTTAAGTTCTCTGGTTTTGACACGTTATCAGAAATAGATTAAGAAATATTAATGCTAGCAGGAGCAGCAGACAAAACCAAAATGTACAAGAAATTGCACAAGCCTGTTGCAGAGAACCATAGTATCAGTATTTCATGCTAGAGTGTTGTAAAATGATGTAAAAGATAGGGAACATAACTCCTCTGCCCCAGAGAAATTTCTTCTGCTATTTGTGATCCTTTTATTAGCAAAACTGAGATACGGCCATTCATATTTATTTCAATGGTGGGGTTGGTGGAAAAATCTGTGAAAGGGTCCTAAATTCATGAATCCTAAACCCACGCTGTTAATGCTGGCTGACGTTAAAGCCCTGGAAGATTTTTAGGCACAACAGAAGAGGAAGCTCCTGGGAAGACAAAAAAACCCCAAACCCATGAATACCGGAACTCCTGCAGAAGCTGAGCTCAACACATGAACCTTTTCATTCATCCCGAGTCAAGGACAGAACTTTTCACTGATAACAGAATAGGAAGCGTTATTTTGTCCTAACGGCCCATGACTTCTGCTTGAGCACAGGGTACTAAATCAGGTACTTGTTAGGAGAAACAGGCAGCGGCTTGGCAACGGCTACCCCAGACCCCATCAACCGTGTCCAGATATATTCATTAATTCCCTGCCATTCAGCTCCATCTAGTAAAAAAAGCAAAGTCCTGACTACAGAAGAGGTGAAGGATACTTTTCCTCTTTCCAAAATGAAAACAGGAAATCTGTGGCTTAAGGAGATACTTTAAAATTTCTTAAAAATTCTGTATGCATAAAGCCAGTCACAGCTGCTCTAAGTATTTTGCAATGAGAAGTCTCTCTCCTTCTTGTTTTTTATTTGTTATTACTACTCTTGCATGAATAGCTAAGTAAATTAAGGCAATTAATTCAAGTGTTGTGTCTGTTTCCGAATTTTAATCTATCACCTGTTTTCCTGAAAATTAATTACCAGAAATACATCTAAAAACTGAAAAAGCAGAACTGAAAATATAGCACAGCTTCAGTTTTTCCTGGTCCTTAAAATTATTCAACAATTGATATGTGCCTCACTATACAGAAGAATGCTGATGTCTTACGTGAATAGTTTAAGAATCTTTGGTCAGCTGCTTAACCTCACATACACAGCATGTCAAGGTAAAGCTTTGCCAGATATATATGAGCAACTTATACTTCTAATATATATTTTAATATATACTTATTTTAAAAGTTTAAATGTCAATCATCCTTAAAGTAGACCAAATTTTTATAGTGCCTTCTCCTAAGAGACTCAACCAAAATTTTCCTTCATTTCTATTTATCACTAATTTCCACATACTTCCAACAGCATAGTGGCATATTTAATAATTTATGATGTGATCTTCAGAGAAAAGTGATAATTTACACATATTGTAAAAGACCTGGGGATTAAATTGCAGTTCAGAAGTACACAAGTGTTAAGGGAACTACTACTTTATTTTAGTCAAGCTCATGATTCCCTGTTTACTGGAGTAACAGTTAAGAACATAGATTAGCAATGAACGAAACCGCACTGTAAATTCTTTTAAAACTAATAGCTGTACATGTTTATAAATACTGTTATGGATCAGAAGATAAATTTGGCTCCCAACTGAATATGATGGTTAATTTTTATTATATTTAACTTCTATTTCTAATGATATAAATGGAATTTCAGTCTGGAACAAAGTCAACTAGTTGGACTGCACTTAGAAATGCTGACACACAACTATAGCAGAATTCAGCAACTATACTTCACCTTCACCTTCCATGCAGCATTCAGTTTTTTACAACTAGTTTGGAGAATTCAAAGATAATCGCTGGTACATAGCTAATGCCATCTCACCATCTAGAAGGTTAGTTTGAGAACTGCAAAAATGTTTGCAGAGAAATTTATAGATGCATTGGTGTGGAAAAAAGTGAGAATATAGGGAAGAAAACACCTGAATGAAGCAGTATTTTGGACTTCATTGAACTCACGCATACCAATACTCACAAATTCAAAAGGTGCTAAAGACCCTCTGGCTCATCTAATGATCTCCTAAGAAGACTTAAGCTGCAGATACCTCATATTGATTCCCGTTCAATATGCATATAATTTTTATCAAAAGACTGAGAAAAAAAAATTGTTCCCAAGACTCCCAACAATGAAAAAAAAAAAAAAAATCACAACATAAAGACAGCATGCATTCACCCAGCAGCACTTCTACCCATGCAACCTTATGGGCAGAAAGTGTGCTGATTCAATTTTACGGTGAACATCAAGATTACCATTCTTCCAAATTACTACAAACTTAATCTGTGCCTTGCTCAGACTTTATTGTTTGAGTTGATACAAATTTGATGCCCACTAGGGCTGAAGTTTACATCTACCTATCACTGAAAAAGGTCGGTTAGGAGTTGCAAGTTAAACATGATCTTTGACCTTTTCCTTCTGCCCTGTTTGTTTGCAGCCAGATGAAGTGCAACAATAACCATGCCTATGGAAACAATCAATAAGCCGGTTCGTCTTAAAAACACAGAAATGCCCTTCCTCCAACCTCTAGCAGAACACCATAACACACCAGCAGACCACTTTTCAATACTACTGCCTCAAATGACTGGCAACATCCATGAAATTCAATGAGCAATGCTGAAACAAAGAAGCATCTGGCATCATTCACACCACTGCTGAGATATCAAAAATTATTTATTAAAAATAAGTTATTGTAAGGATTTAAAACCATTTCTGTAAGAATATAACAATTTAACAGATATTGTTAACTTCAAAAAAAATTTATAAATGTTTTTCCTCCTAGATTATAAAATTAGCACATACATTCAAACCTACTTCCATATTATAACAGTTGCAACTGTGAAAAAGTTGCTACGGAGTCTGCCCTGACAAAGAATCGAGAGGTGAAGTTTTGGAGTTAAAACACAGAGTACAAGAAACAAGAGAAGAGTTAGTACATAGCCTTGCCCATCAGTTGCAAGTCACCACAACAGCCAATGCAGTATTTTCCTTCTGAATACAGTGTAACATTATACTCTGGGGAAAAATCTTACTGTAAAATGAAATGCATTTTCATAAATACTGAGGGAGTGCCTCTTACAACTTTTGACATCATGTACGTGTGGAGAATGTGCACTGGACTTTTCAAATGACTATACGATGTGCTGATTCTTAAATATTTGCACAGCAGCAGCACAAGGAATTCCTATGTTCATCACACAAAGGCTG